TGAGCCAAGAAGGAGGCACTGGGATACAGGACGGCTCTAACAGCCGCAGACGACACAGCCTGCTCACAGACAATGAAGCTGCCCTGAAGAACTAGTGAGCAGTGAAGGTCAAATACCGCACGCAGCCTGCAGAAGAGAGCCCACTGCAATGTAAGGAAAGCAAAAATGCTCACAACGGGGCTGATAAGTGTCATCATGGCAAATGAAGAAGAAATTGGAGCTGTCAAAGATTTCATTCCACATGGACCAACTGTTAACATCCTACTCATACTTTTAAATAAAAGCAAATATATCACTACCTGCTTTCTCGGAACCTGAGAATGTTAGGTAATCACTACATAAGAAAGCTTTCTATCTTGGGAGAGCCTACTATGAGAATTTTTCTTAAAAAACAAAAATAAATAAAAGGAATGAAGGAATAAAATGCCACTGAAATTTAAACTAGGCTTGGTAATTAAGCACTTTATATCTGCTCAAAACAAAATTAAAGCACTCAAATGCTATGAGAAAACTTTAAAAAATGAACAGAAAACCCAGAACTCATGTTGACAGCTGACAAAACAAGAAATAGTTTTATTATGAAACTCTTAAAGACTGATGATTTTTTTTTTTTTTAAGCAAGCAAGCAACTGATAAAAAAGCTAGGTGGAGTGGTCAATTAAAGAGTCACACAAGCACACTGTAGTTTTCACATGGGCTTACAGATGAAAGGCTCATCCTATATCATAGCAAACTACCTTGCCTTTGGAAACAGAACGGAAGGATAAGCATACAGGCTTGGATTTTAAAAATGAACTCATGTTTATTATAGTTTCCAACTATGATCTTTTAAAATGGTGGCCTTAGTAAAATCTGCTTTGGCAAGCAAGTGAGGGGCCCCTGCAGAGAGGAAGTGAAAAGGCTGGGCATATAAACAAGGGCTGCTGGCATGTTCAAAGCACAGGGGATAGTTCACAGAGCAAAATGTAGTACTAAGTAAATGGGTTTCAGGCAATTTCAGTGTTAAGATAACATCATTAAGACAGAACAGATTGTGCTCAAACCCTGCTGTTTATAATTAACACGTTGCTTCCAAATACTCCAGGGTCCCTGGTAAATAGTCTTCTGTTCACATCCACCCAGACCAATCAGGGAATTTTCATCAGCTTCCATGCTGGGCCAGCACCTGTTTGGACAAATCCAATAGAGCCAAAGAACTCCTCTCCCTGGCCAGCTAAGGAGGGGATGAACACAGCTTGGCTTAGTCATTGTCACAGTGTCCATATGGCTTTGAAGCTTGTTTTCATAAGAAATCATACAAGTATTTTATTATGTCAAAGTTCACCGTCCTATAAAACAAAAACAGAATCCGTTAGCATCCTCACCCCTTAGATTGCTCAGATTTGCACGATTCTGGGAAGCACATGCAAATAATTAAGGCTAACCAGTCCTACAGAACTATCAAATAGCAGCATGGTAAGTCTGATAACGATTTTTTTTTTAAGTCACTAGAAACTCACTTTAAAAAAAAGTTGTTTTGGGGTTTATTTTTTATCATGCATAAAGTTTGCTTTTCTAAAAAAGAAAAAGTTAAAACTATTCAATTCAATTATACTATAGAAAGTTCAGCTATTTTTTGTCTAATAAACAGAATGAAGTAATTAGAGATGCAGAAGGATTTAAATCTTCTTTGCTTCTGAACATTGTTTATCGTCCCAAACACCTGTTTTATCATTACATAGTGCATAGCTCATCTGTCCTCATTTGTGCTTTTCATTCTTCCAGTCTTTTAATACTGGTTGACCTGTGTGTGTGTTGTAACTAAATCTGTATGATCCAAGAATACGATACAACAAACAGACGATGTGGATGTATATTTTTGTACTCTAATGGCAGGCGGGATAAAATAGCAGAGAGAGAGACATATAATTATTTTCCTTTCTCAAGGCTCATTCTTCACTATAAATATTCAGAGTTGGAGGTTTATTATTTGAATAAATGGTCAAAATAATTAGATATAATGATCTTGAAATAAGTATAAAATTGAAGCCTTAAAAGTATTCAGTTCTGCAAAAATAATCACCCATGTGAGAAAAGCTTTGTAAAGATTCAGTAATTGTATGCTTTTATTTATTAAACCATCATCAATTCATGTTTTTGTCTATAATTTTGCTAGAAAAGTTTTTAACATATGACTGACATATTAACAAATTAAAAAAAATTAGAATGGGGAACTATAGATGCTGCTTATGAAAACACATTTAAAAATAGTTCCAATGAGAGGCCGTGGCTATTGTTTGATACCTACTGCTCGACTGAAGATTACCTTAATTGCCTTATCACAAAATCGCCTCCACAAATAGTATAAAACTACTGCTAGTTTTCCAAATGGTATAAAATCATTGCCAAAAACATCCTTTCACAAGCATTAGCAAAAATAAAGGAACTAAAAATAGATGCAAAAAATTTTTTTAAAAGGGCAGCTTATATCCCCAAGCATAGACATGTAAGGGTATAGCTATTAGATCACTGAGCTATTTTAACATGCTCATCTTTCATTCAACTCCAAAACCTCTCACATTGATCAGCAACAAGGCACTTCTACAAAGGATCTAAAACATCTGATTGGGCTTCAAAAATTTTGTGGAAAATAGAATTAAAACAATGGAAATTTTCCCTGAACGTTTTGAGGCGTCCTTGTGTAAAATGATACGATACTGGTCCAAAGTTCTTCTTTTTGAGGGTTTTATAAAGAAAACAGTTGCAGTAGCTATTTTTAGCCACAGGCAAAGGGAGAAAAGGAATTTTCACAGCCCTCCAGGCAAATGCCTCTACAATGACTTAAAGTTATACACCTAAAGTGAGGTGAAGAAGGAATGCTAAATTTTATTTAACTTTTTAGTTCAAGTGGAAAAAAGTTTAGAAAAAATTTAAATTAGCACAGGCTAAAATCCAACAGTAGGTCAGCACTAGGTGAGACCCTAAATTACAGGGTATTATTTAGCAGAATATTATGTAGCCATAACAAATGATGAACAAGATGTCATACAGAATAGCTGACAGACTAAGATAAGAGAATTGTAACTATGTTGTGATAGCTATGGGGCATGTCTGTCTAATGTAAAAGTGATAAAAGAGAATATAAACAAAAACACTATTTGCTACAATAGAATTCCTCTATTTCACTCAGTAATCTATTTATATTACATAGCATACTTTGTGCAATTGCATTTTCTTTCACAAAATGAACAAGTTGATGTAGACACACTTCACAATTTAAATACCGTATCGTGATTCATTTATAAAAGCATTACATTTCATCTCTTCTCTGGCTCTGTGAAGTACTGAAGTAAACGGAATCCTATAGTAAGTGTCTTCAGACCTCTTAAAATCAAGCTCACCAGGAATGAAATATATAAGATGATTCCTTTTAGAAACATTCATAATCCAAGATACATGATGATGCCACTCTATTTCTCTATCCTTCCCACTGCGCAGCCCCCCCCCCATAAATTCATGACTTCCCAATTGATCCCCATATATATTTTTCTAGCAAATTGGCAGTCTTTGGTAGAGTGATACAAGGGGAATTTTTTTAATTTTTGGAAAATTCCATGATCTTTAAATTTCATTTTTCCATGACCTTTTAGGGAGCCCCCTTGTTAAAACAGCAATACCAGAAATTGCCGCACATTCATGACACAACAAAATAGCGATGTTTTAGGAGACAAACATTTGATGAACTCATGAAGAATGGTTCAGCTTACAAAGGAGGTATGCAATTTGTATACATTCCCTACGGCTTCAGACGCACCTGGCACCCTCAAGTTGGTCCCCACCTCATGGAGAGTCCAGGCAAAAGAAGATCAGACCATTGTGATTGTGATCCATAGGTTGTTTAGGGGCAGGTTTTCAGAAGGTTTTCTTTCTAGTCTGTCTTTGTCTAGAAACTCCACTGAAACCTTTTCAACACCCCAGCAACAGCAAGCCTCTACTGACAGATGAGACGGCTGGTGGCTATGCTTGAGAAGCACTGGCTGGGAATCACTCCTGAGTCTCCCATATGATGAAAGAATACTAACACTGGGCATTCTGTGTATCTTCAGACACACACACACACACACACACACACACAGCCGCTGCGTGAATTCTGACTCATGACAGCAACCCAATAAACAAATAAACTCACTGCCAATGACTTGAGGCAGACTCACAGCGACTCTATTGGGCAGGGTAGACGTGCTCTTGTGGGTTTCTGAGACAGAAACCATTTACAAGAACAGAAAAAGCCCCATTGGTTCTGAACTACTGACTTTACAGTTAGCAGCCCAATGTGTAATCACTATGTCACCAAGGATCCTGACAGATGAGTATTAAATTCATATAAACACAATTTTAAGATTTTGGATAGTTAATATTAAAGGGGAGCCCTGAAGCATAGTGGGTTACGAGATGGCTGCTAATCATAAAGTCAGCAGTTCAAAACCACCACCAACTGTTCCACAGGAGAAAGAGGCAGCTTTCTACTCCTGTAAAGAGTTACAGCCTTGGAAACTCAGAGGGGCAGTTCCATCCCCTTCTACAGGGTGGCTATGAGTTGGCATTGACTCAGTGGCAGTGAATTTTTTTAGAATATAGAAGGGATTCTCACTTCCGTAGAACCCAAATGAATTATTACCTAAAGTAAGCTTCATAAAAGAAATAATTTTTGAATCAGATTTTAAAACACTTTAATATAAGTTAATTATATTGAACATTCAATTTTGCCTTTGATCTATGTTCCAACCTTAAGTTAAAAACAATCATAAACTGCTAAGTGCCACACACATTAGGACAATTATTAGTGAGCTTCTCCGTCATCTATTTCCCCCCCATCTCTGTAACCAGGCTCCGACAGCTTCGGTTTCCAAACCTTTCCACTGTCCCACAGTCAAAGTTCTCTACTCCCTCTAGCTCTCCAGTGAATATGTTTTCTCTTCCTGGCTTAGTGGACACCCAGCTCTCTCTAAAGCAGTGGTTCTCAACCTGTGGGTCGCCCGATTCACAGTGGCAAAATGACAGTGAGGAAGTAGCAACGAAAATAATTTTATGGTTGGAGAGTCACCAATACATGAGGAACAGTATAAAAGGGTCGCAGCATTAGGATGGTTGAAAACCACAGCTATAAAGGCTCTAGACCCATCATCAGCTTCCTCCAAAAAGGTTAAGACTCGCTTCCATATCTCAGGCACCCCGTCATGTGGAGTCTGTGTCCTTGTGGAAAGAGCTCTGCTCCTCTGAGTTCAGAGCATTCTGTTTTCCACGTTCCGCCCTCCCCTGTCACCACCTCGGAGTGAGTAACTGAGTGAGTGTCCAGCCAGTCTTCCTTTCCTTCCCAAGACCGGCATCCGTCTGAGTGACTTCAGTGCTCACTGCGTTTCTTGTGCGATGGCTTTTCTTTTCACTCTCATGACCACACTCAGAAAGGCTCTACTTCTAAAAAGAAAAATCCATTCTACCCTCTAATCTCCAATATCCTCCCCTTCAAGCTATTTGCTACACCTTGGAATAAGTAGTTCACAAACCCCTTGACATTCTCTTGAATAAACCTGTGCCGGGCAGGTCACTGTACCATTAGCTCCCCACTGGCTTTACTTCCTTCCTAGTTTATTCACTTCACTCAGTAACTTGTGAGGCTCCAGTGAAATCACCTGGTCAAACCGCCACTATGTGATTGTAACAATAGCCCTCACCATGCCAGTACTGAGTATACGTAAAACTGTTAGAGATCACCACCACACGTTGCACCCACTGGTGCACCGCAAACGCATGGGCCCTCAACCCTCCCAACCAGCTCTTTTCTCTCAGTGCTCTCTTCCGCTCTCCACGGCAGCTACTTAAAATATTCCATATTCCCTCAGAAAGCTACTATTTCTGACCTTGGTCTCAGCAAATAATCATGGCTCTTCTTTCACAGACAAACAGAAGCTACGAGATCAGACAGAACTTCTTCAATTTTTTGCCACCAAATCTCCAAGTTCATCGCCATCTTGTTGCAAGGGAATGGGATCCTCTCTGCTATTTAGGGCTATTTCTTTCAATTCCAGTTCTAAATCCCATGCCAGCACGTCAGACTCCAAACTTTTAATTCACCTCTCTTTTGTATCACGGACTCTCTTCTCTACATGTTCTTTTCCATCAGCTTGTAAATAAATCTTAATCTTTAAAAAGTCATTATTATAGCATTCTTACAACTCCATATTCCTTTTAGTATATAAACTCTCCTTATGCCACAATTCTCAAATGTAAGCACATGAGGATAAGATATACATCTTTTCTATTGGTTGCAATATCCACAAAACCTAAAACAGTTTCTTTATAGTGGGCAACCCAACAAATGTTGAATGAACAAGATTTACTAATCCTACTTGCTTCACTTATTTTCATAAACTGTTATTGAAATCAGTATAATTTGACGTCGACTCTACTATGCCACTGGAAGAACTCTTGATAAAAGTTACAAACGACTGTTTATGATTAACTCAGATACTCCTGCTTGTCTTTTTGTCAATATCTGACAATTACGAAATTTACACCCTTCAGTTTCTTTATATAAACAATTTTACATATAAATGTTTTATCCACTTAAGGCATATCCTGAGTATTTTGTGTTTTTAAATCCTTTAAAAAATATGGTTCTTCAATAACAACATATTGTTTCTCCATGAAAATGTATAAATTAGTGATCTATTCCTTCTTAGTGGACATTTTAGTTGTGCCTTGTGATCTAATTTTTGTTCTCTGCCACAGGTGTCTGGAACTAGGCATCCAAGCACGACTTCTTTGCTAAGTATCCTGGGGACTGCTTCCCACGCTGAGATCCTGAAGGAGACTCAGCCCGTAAGTGCCCTTCTTCTGGCTGCCTCAGAACCAAACCCACAATGGTTTCCTTTTCAACGACAGTTATGTTGCCTTTCACTATGGGAAAGCATGCATTCGGTCACTATTTAGCATAGAGTAGGTTAAAAGTATTGTGGTAGACATCGAGATAAGGCCGTGGTGATTAATACAGAGTGTGTTCTTTGAGCTTGAAATTATATTCTAGAAAGACAGACCAACTGTAATAAGCAGTATCCACCTACATGTTTGAGAAGGTGTCTCTGGTAGATTTGAGAGGGTTTTTCTAGGGATGAAGAGTTCATTTGAAACCTTAAGATTATACCCCAGAGGAGAAAAGTGGTAAAGTACAGCACATGCAAAGGTGGGACGCAGAATGGTTTGTTAACAACTGAAAACAAGTGACGGGGCTATAGGGTCCACACTGAGAGAAGAAAAGGTCTGTATGTGCCAGATGTGACTGGGCCTCAAGGCAGGGGTCAGATCATTTGGGCCTTACACACTATTAAGGATTTTATTTTTTATCCCAAGATTTCTAAGCAGGAAGGTGACATTACATTTTTGGAAAAATTTATGTAGTATTCTTTCTGGACAGTTTTAAGCTTTAGGAAAAGCTTTTTAATGTGGACAGTTTTAAGCTTTAGGAAAAAACAGGTAAGAAATAAAAGATAAAACCCAGAAGACTACGCAGGGACTCGAGAGATCGGTCAGTAGGTGCCACCAAGAGGACAAATCACCCGAGGACTACACAGGTTCTGGGACCATCCAGAGGAAACGGAATTCAGACAACAGGTAGACAAATACTGTGAATGGGAAGAGGGAGCCCCTCTACCTCCACAATATTGAACAAGGGGAATGAAAAAGATGGGCCTAAATTTATTTTGTGAAACAGAGCAAATGCTGATGGGGGCACATATGTTGGGATTTGTGGTTTGATGAGTCAATAACAGAGGTGGAAAGAAGGCAGTGAACCAATTATTCTTCAACAAGTTAGGTGCATGGCTTGGAGCTAGGTCATAAGAATAGGGAAATGGAGACAGGCTGGATGAGTCATAATCCAAGTTTCTATGAGAAGTCGGGGAGAGGAACAGACAAGAAATGGCACTCCCAGCCCTGAGGGTTGGGGTGTGATAACTTCAGAGGAATTAACAGCCCTGGGGAAGAACCAGATTTTAGTTTTAAAGCAACGAGGAAGAATTGTGGGAGGTGAGAGATGTTTCAGTACATAGGTTTGTTGTAAGAGAGAGAAATAGAGTAAGAGGTTAAGTGAGCAGAAAAGAAGTTCAATACTAATTGTAAGTCTCCAGTGCCTGCTCCCTCCTGAGATGATAAAAGCAAAGTGCGCTCCTCCCCCAACTCCCCGGCAAGGATTTATAATTACTGTGCTGCTGTGGATTGCCGAACACCAAATTCAATTTGTTTCACTGTATCACAATATTAGACATTCACTGGCCTCTGTGCTATAAAAGAATTGTTATGTTTAACATGACCCAACACACTCTGAGTAATGGAAAAATCCCTAAAACAAATACTCATTGTTCCAAGGTGATGCCTTTGATGGAGACTCTTAAATGTAAATGCTCTAAAATCATTATTTAGAAAAGAATGTCTATACCTTTATGATCAGAATATAACCTTAAAGTTTCTGCCCAGTTTCTTTTGTGTACACAGTTGCCTGGTTTTATCATAATGGCTATTTCATAATATTCATTTTATGTTTTGGGTCTTTGTATTTCCCAAATGTGTGGCAACTACCTGCATCATAGTGATCACAGAACTTGTCACTCAGAAGAAGCTTGAGAGGAAGAATAGCCGCCAACCCATGGACTAGAGACGATCGATAAATCTGTATCCACGTCAAGAAACATTTTTAGGCATGTTTTGTGAGTTTTGAAAAATATGCGAATACTTTCAGGATTCATTTCATTTACTTAAAAAATCATTTTACTGGGGTTCTTAAGAGCTTATAACAATCCACACATCAATTGTATCAAGCTTATCTGTACATATGTTGCCATTATCGTTTCTAAACATTTACTTCCTATTTGAACCCTTGGCATCAGCTTTTTTACCTCCCCCACTCCCACCCTGGTGACCCCTTGATAAATGATTGTTTTCATATCTTACACCAACCACTATCTTCCTTCACCCACATTTCTGTTGTTCATCCCCTTTGGGGTGGTGGTGGAGATTATGCATCGATAATTGTGATCAGTTCCCCCTTCTTCCCTTCCTCTTCTCACCTTCCCCCTACCCTGCTGGTAACGCTTCATGGATTCATTTTAAAAGAAAAGAATGCTCAAGCGGCATCTTCATAGTAAGATGGTTGGGAAATCAATCCTACTTGTTCATCCTACGCTCCTGACAGATTATTGTCCACCTGCAACCATGAGATGTGGGAGTTCATCCCCACTGTCAAACAGCTTGAGCACGGTCTACCACAGAGTTCTCAGCCTGTGGGTCGCAACTCCTTTGGAGGTCGAACGACCCTTTCACAGGGTCATCTATTCATAACAGCAGCGAAATGACAGTTATAAAGTAGCAACAAAAATAATTTTATGGTTGGGGGTCACCACATGAAGACTGCACTAAAGGGTTGCAGCATCAGGAAGGTTGAGAACCACTGGTCTACCATTTTAAGTACTCCTCTTTATGAGGAAATTTCTCACATCTTTGGACAGCTCTCATTTTCACAAACATTCTCTCCTCCATAAAACTTCTAAACAGAATTCAGAATAAGTTTAATTCAATTTACACATGACAGTTCCTGAAATAACTTGTCCTTCCTCAGCGTTCTCTCACATCCCCAACGCCCCAGTTATGAGCGTGACACGCTTCTTAGTCCTACCGCTTTCTCTGTGTCTTTCCAACGTGCACCCAGTTGCTAACACCCCTCGCACACAGGACCCCAGATCTGAGCTGCCTATGGTGATACACAACAAGCCTATAATTTCTCTTGCCTTGAACAAGCCATGGTGCGTCTATCCGTGGTACTTCGATGGTACGACCTACGTTAGGATTTTAAGAACTTACAGTTAAAACACTTAGGGCGTAAGCTCTGAGATCTCTCCCAGCTTGTTTGATTCCATAGGTTGGTCTGTTTTTCAGTTTACTGGTGCTGCTAAATCCCACTGTTCTCAAAGAACCAGGACCCTACTCTGTTACTACCTGTGAGGATCCTGACTTGCGCAGTCTTATCTATTTAGCTTTTCTTCCCAATTCCGTGTCATTTGTAAATTTGATCAGAGGGTTCGTTTTACAGTGGAGGTTCTTTATTCTTAGCACTTAAAAGAAATCTTTTCTCCTTTAAATGACATTACATCAGGAATTAATTTTTATATTTAGTCTATAATTTACATAATTTGAGACATCCCACATTAACAACTACTCTTCTCTCACCTTGCAATTGCTCTGATGAAGTCTAGAGAGACGGTGCATTTGTACTTTGGCCCATCAAGCTGGTCGTCATGGCCAACAAGGCTTAACAGCTGGAGCGTCACTAGAGAGGTGATCTAAAACCGAGAAAGCGTTTGTTTTTATGAAAAACTGTTTCAATGAGATTACATGATGTCCTTATTTCTGAAATATTTATAGAATTGAAGCCATATAAAGATTAGACAAAAGAAACCCCTAAACAACCCACCCCCGTCATTGTGAAATCTGTAGGTACAGTGTGTATGTATGCTTAAAGTCCTTGTTAATCAAACTACACTGTCATTTAAAGGTTCCACTAGAGTTAGCGCTGCTTCGTTAATGACTCAAGACACATCATTAAAGGTCTTTAAAAATACAAATAAAGCACATTTATTCATTACATACCATTTCATGGAATTTCTATCTAAAGACTTCAGGATATCACATCTACTGCATTCCCTGGGGGGAATTAAAACACTTACATGTGGATTTAGGGTTTTTCAGTCTTTGGCAGCTGATTAGATGAGATATAAGAAATGTATACCTGCGACCTGAAGACTGGCCTTCCTTTAAAACTGAATTCTGACCAGAAGGAAGACTAGTGACAAAAGCAGAAATGCACCCTGACAGGTCAAGAGCTAAATGTTTGAGCATTCAGCCTCTTCTCGTCATTTCCTCTTTTCAACTCTTACAGATAACAGGAAAAAAGGGCAAGAATGGCAAAAAGCTTTGGCATGTTGGTGACCTGTTACTCCTCCATGGAAACAAACAGTATGAATTTCATTTGCAATACCTACCTAATCAGATGCCTCAAGAATTTAAACTCAATATTACTATTTTGTAGATATTCACTAGACTTTATGGATAAAAACATAAATAGCAGTAGCATTTTTTAAAATAAAATACTCTATCCACATCATTTCATTGATTTTTCATAACCCAATAAGGTGGATATTACTATACTCATTTTATAGGTAAGCCTTAGAGATATTATGTAATTTTCTCCAAATCCCAGAGCTAGGAGCTAATTTAGCAAGAATTTATAACTTGAAAGCATGCTTACCTTACTAACCTATAATGGCTCTCATTCTACTTTCTATTATAATTTTTAAGGGAACACTACCATGCATTGTTCGCTCAGCTATCGTTACTTTATTAACAAATTATAGGGGACAGATGATAGATATACAAGACTAAGCAAGACTTTGATTTTTAATTCAGCATCACAAATTTAGTTATGTCTTAAAATACTTTTATATATATTCCCTGTGTTAAATGTATGTATCTCATAGCTATTGTGCATTGTTATCTACAAGCTTGTTACATCAAACGTGTCAATTGTGTTGTTTGAATCTTATTTGTTATCTATCTAATCTATTCAAACTGAAACCACATAAAAAATTTCCCAATATGATAAGGAGTCCTTTTGTAATTTTGTTTTTGTTTTAAACTTTTAAACTTCTGTTACATAGTGCATACAGCTTTAAAATCACTACCTTCTGTTGAACTGAAATGTTTCACTGTTTTATGATTCTTTCCATTTTGGCAATGTTTTCACCTTTTCTGGTGTCAGTATAGATGGATCAACTTTTGTCTAGTAAGAAGAATAAGCAGGAACATTGTGGTGGTGAAGGGTGCTCTAACTGAAGCTTTCTCAGGCATGTTTTGGTTAAAGCTTTGGCTAGCATTCTCATAATAAACAAATACAAACAAATGCTTTTTGAGAGGGGCCCTGGTTGAGGAATGGTTACAAGTTGAGCTGGGTGTGAAAGATCTGCAGTATTGGAAGCTCTTCGGGGCTGTTCCACCCTGTCCTGGAGGGTCACTGAGTCTATGTTGGCTTCATAGCAAAGAGTACTGTTCTTTAGTCTCCAGAAAGTCAACAAGCAAATGTCTTGAACATTGCCCCAAATGCTGCCATGACCTATGCTACTGACCATTCTGCAGTGACTTGACTAAACCACTTCCACCTCTTGGTAGCCATTGCTTTGATTGTACTTTGCCTACAGGATAGTACCAATAAAGCCGTATTTTATCTCCTATTAACAATTCTTCAAAGATAGGCTTCAAAATCTTGATCTTTCATGTTTAAGACTTCCATAGAAAGTTCTGCTGTCTGTAGCCTGTCTGGGTATATTTCACGATCTGGAACAATAGCTTTGGCACCCACGCAGGGGAAAGTTTAACTGTAACTTTTTAGTTAGAGATGTACAACCTGAACCAAATGATATTTCTTGATGTTGGCTATTTTTTCTACTGTAAATCTTCAGTCATCTTCAATTAGGGCACACATAAGATTGTTTCCTTACACACCGATTAAGATTAGCCTGTGGCAGTATACTTCACCTTCATCATCGTGCCCCCTTTTTAAATGAGCTATCCACTTGGACAGATGATTTCTTTGGGGTACTGTCCCGATAAACTTTTGTAAATCAGTAATTTCACCACTCTTCCACCCAAGCTTCACTGTAAATCTGTTTGTTTTTGCTTAAACTTTATCAGAACTCATGTTGTTCTGGTAGGGGACTCTTTTCAAACTGACGTCTTATCCTCTCACTGCCTCAAACTAGGTCTGGTGTAGACATGCTACAAGTTAGCACCAGTTTTTTTTGTTGCCCCCTCCCACACAAATGTAATTATATGTAGCGTTTTCATAATACACATTCTCCATCCAGTTTCTGAAGACTTCTCATATGCACACACCATTAGATGAGGAAAAGAATTAGTGGGGAACAAGAAGACTGTTCTGAGGAAATTTATCTAGAATGCAGAATAGGTTAAAAAGGGGGATTTGTGAAAGAGATTTAAAAGGATGAAAGTCACAGTGAGAAGATCTATTCCACTTCTAATTAAAGTTCTAGAAGAGAAACATGGGGCAGAAGCATTCTTTGTGTGGGGGGACGAACACTTATTAAAGGCGATCAAAGGCATCATTCCATGAAGTCGATGCCAAAGACATTGTAAGAGGTAGAGCTCAAAGGAAACCCACATCAACATACAGCTCATTCAGACTGTAGAACACCAGAGGTAAAGAGAAGTTCTTCAAAGTAGCCAGAGAAGAAAAACAGATCACTTTCAAATGAGTGCTAAATTCACTGACAGCTGACTTCCTTATCACCACCACCAATAATAAAGGATACCTTAAATATCCTGAAAAGAGCTGTCAACCAGAATTCTGCACTTCACAAAAAACATTTTAAGCTTGAAGAAGAAATAAGCACGTTCCCAAACGCAGCATAATCAAAAGCTTGTGACCACGAATCCTTATCCACTAAAGTAAAATTTAAAAACGTGCTTTCGGGTAATGTCTTGTGTGCTTACAAATCGGTGTGAAGAACACAGTATCAGTAAGGTATAATATGGGAAAGGAAAAAATGAAGTCAATTTTTTTCTGAAGGCTGTATGATGTCTGAAAAGAATGTATACATGACACCTTAAATATGAATGTTCTAATTCTAAAAGTAATCACTGAGAACAGATATAAAAGTATGTACTTCCACACTAGAAGGTTATAATAGACTTTAAAAGGCTCTCTGTCGGATAACAAGGCTATCTGTATCCCTCAACTAGGATGAGAGGGGATTCACTGGTGGCTTAATCCATGAGTGGACCCTGCAAATGGATTTTGGGCTTCCACAGCCTTGTGTTCACAATTTAAGCTTTGTGACCTTTTCCTCCTTCGGGTTTGGATTTGATTATTTACAATCCTTGGATCACACTGGCTTAGGGTGCTTCTACCATATGGTCTCATCTGAAGACAAGGGGAAATACATGTGGATGAAGCCCCTGGTTAGACCTCTCTGACTACAGACCAGGGATGTGAATAGCCTTGTTGTCAAGCAGAATGTACTAGAGCAGCAGTTCTCAAGCTGTGGGTTGCGGCGATCCCCTTGGGGGTCGAAAGACTCTTTCACATGGGTTGCTTGATTTATAACAGTGGTAAAATTACAGTTATAGGTCGCAACGAAAATAATTTTATGGTTGGGGGTCACCACAACATGAGGAACTGTATTAAAGGGTCACGGCATTAGGAAGGTTGAGAACCCCTGTACTGGAGGGTATTACTGTAGATGCAGTGAGGATGACATTTAACACCTTTTCACGGAATCTCTTTTTTGATCCATTTAAAATTTGTTCTAGTTTTTAACATTTTCTGCTTTCTTTTCATTTGATGTTCTTATCTATTTTCCCTTTTTTGTTTTTAGTGTTTTTCTGTATATGAAGTCCAAGATAGGTAAATCTATAGAGACAGTAATTGGATTTTGGGTCTTGGAAGAATGGCAGGGGAAGTTGGGAGGAAATGGGGAGCTAGTGACAATGAGTACAAGAATGAAGAAAATGTTCTATAATAGACTGTGGTGATGACTGTACAATTCTTGATATGACTATTAAACTGTAGGACATGTGAATTATATGTCAATAAAACCATTAAAAAGATTTTACACTCTTAACATTGTACCCTTTAAAGGCCTAATAAACACCCTTTGGGAATTTTCTAAGAGAAATTAGTTTTGAAAAGTTAAAAAAAGCAGCAGCTAAAAATGGGCAGATTGGAAATTCTGACTACACAGAGTTCAAGGTAGCATGAAACAGAAGAATGCGGTAAGGCTGAGAGTTAAAGGAGCCTCGGTAACACAGCACTTAGTGTGAGAGCACCATCAGCAGAGAAGGCTGGCAGTTGGGAGCCATCCAGAGGCTCTGTGGGAGAAAGACCTAGTCATCTCCTTCCCCAAGATTTCAGCTTGGAGACCCTAGGTGAAAGTCTCCTTTGCCACATGGGGGCTGCTAGATTGAAAAGCAACTGGACTGCACCTAACCATACAACAAGCTCTCAAGACAGAATGAGAAGCATGAAGCAAGCAGTAACTTCCAAAAAAATGGTGAGGTTTAGTAACATCAGACAAAGTGAACTTCGAAAGACTGGTTTAAATTGATAAACTGTAGGCTATGGGTGCCTATCTATTACAAAATTAGTGAATTGAGACCTTTACTATAAAAGGATGAAACACAGGACAGAAGGGGAAATGGGGCCTTTGAGGGTAAGAGTAGTACTGCTGAAAGTCAAGATAACAGAAACTCTATAGCCTTCTCAGTTTGG